AGCAGATAGGAGGCTTTTTGATCTTGTCAGGGTTTCTCATGTTCTCTTTTCAAGTGGGCAAACCGACAAGATGATTGATATCCTCATCGTTTTAGGATATCAATTCAGTGATGCATTGGATGAGGCAGATGTGGATGTGAGACTTGCCACACAGATCATTCCTAAGAAAGAAAGTTTTAAGTATCTTGGGTCTGTAATCCAAGAAAGTGGTGACATCGACGATGATGTCACACATCGCATTGGGGCTGCTTGGATGAAATGGAGGCTTGCCTCTGGAGTCTTGTGTGATAAGAAAATCCCGCCTAAACTTAAAGGTAAGTTCTACAGAGTGGTAGTTAGACCGTCCTTGTTGTATGGAGCGGAGTGTTGGCCAGTCAAGAACTCACATGTTCAGAAAATGCATGTTGCGGAGATGAGGATGTTGAGATGGATGTGTGGGCACACTAGGAGCGATAAGATTAGGAATGAGGTTATCCGGGAGAAGGTGGGAGTGGCCTCTGTGGTGGACAAGCTGAGGGAAGCGAGACTGAGATGGTTTGGACATGTGAAGAGACGGGGCGCAGACGCCCCAGTGAGGAGGTGCGAGGGGCTGGTAGTAGAGGGTACGCGGAGGGGTAGAGGTAGGCCCAAGAAGTATTGGGGAGAGGTGATTAGACAGGACTTGGCCCAGCTACACATTACCGAGGACATGACTCTAGATAGGAAGGAGTGGAGGTCACGTATTAAGGTTGAAGGCTAGTAGGGTTAGCGTGTTGTCTTTCCTGGCGAGGGTATGGGTTGTTAGCATTTGTAGTAGTCTTAGCCTTACACTTGTAGTTCTTGTATGTGATCCCTATTGCCTTATGTTGTTTACTGCGTTTCACTTCTCACATTATTTTCTTGATGTATTGCCCCCTTTGTTGATTATGCACTATTTTTCTTATTGGATGTTATGCTTTATATAATTCTCTTCCTTTACTTGGCTTTGTTACACTTGAGCTGAGGGTCTTCCGGAAACAGCCTCTCTACCTCCACGAGGTAGTGGTAAGGTCTGCGTACACTTTACCCTCCCCAGACCCCACCTAGTGGGATTTCACTGGGTATGTTGTTGTTGTTGTACTATTCAGCACCCTTCCATTAATATGATGAGTGTGCTGTTAGTTTGGATGTGATAAAAAGCTACCCTCTTTTGCAAAGATAAAGGACTATTTGTGTCCATGGCTATATAAATAAGGATCAAAATACTCCGACAGTCATACATAAGGGACAATTTGGTGCTTTTCTCATGTCTACCACTTTTCTATTTTGTAAAGCTATGCCATTGTTATAAATTTATTCATACTGTTCAGTCTAACAAAATTCTTTCCCTGGAGAGAGGAAGGTGCTCTGTGGTTGGTAGAGTTAATCGGTGCCATAGCAGTTAAATTTTCCTAGTTACCTTTTAAGTTGAAAGCAAAAACCAAAAGGGACACTAAAAGTGTAATTTTGCTTTCTTCTTTGCTGATGTGAAAGTTTCTCAAGGTTGCATTTCTGCTCCTGCAAAATCTGGTCTATGGCGTTACTTCTAATCCTTTCAACTTTTCTACCATGTGTTGTACCAATTTGATTTGTGCAAGATAATGTCGTCATTCTTGTGCCTGACAAGTATGTCCAGAAAGAGCATAACTCATGTGTTTCTAGATATCTAGAAATGCATTCTTGATGAAGTTAATAAGAGTAGAAACAAGATGATTCGTTAGGAAAACATGGAAGAAAATTGAAATGTATTTACAGAGGAAACTGTAAATATACTAAAAATAAATGCTGAAAAAGCCTTTTTTTTAAAGATAATGAAGGCTTGATGTGAAAGAGCCTGGGGCTTCGGTCTAGATGAACAGACTATCCACTGAATTCCAAACCGGGCATCACCAGTCCTCGGGATTTCTTGGTTATGAAAAAAAAAGAAAGACTTGATGTGTAGAGTGAATATACAGAAATAGATATGAAATACATTGGAAATAAAAAACATGGGCTGACTTGCAGCATAATTGTGTCAACTCTACCTTAGTAAGCCCTACATTTTGCGATTCTATGCTGCATGTCTAATGTGCATGTCCAATCACACTAAACTTCCTCCGGCTTCTGGTTCCCCTCAACGATCCACTGGCTCGCCCATTGCACAAAACAAAAGAGCCGTTGTAACTCTTTCCCAACTTGCTTGGGATTTGTAATGCAATTGTTGTTGTTTGTTTCAACTCCTCTTACACTTTGCACAGTCATGTATCTATTTGCCCTATACACCAATCAATCCAGTTTCTTCACTGATTAACCCCTCCCTCTGGCTTCATGGAGAATGACTAGGATGATGTTTCACTCTGATGATTTTGGGGGATATTTAACGTAGTTTTTGATCTACTTGCATATCCCTTGCTTTTCCCCTGTAGATATGAGTTTTTCCAGAATCAGTTGGCTTGCTCAATTAAGCAGAATATGTTTCTCTTTGCTTGCTATAGCTTGTAAATTCTCATTGTTGAAATTTTATTGCAGTGTTGAGGATGCAAAAAGACTAATCGATCTTATCCAGGGCATTCCATGCAAGATTAACCTGATCACTTTTAACCCTCATTCTGGATCCTTCTTCAAACCAACTACAAGAGAGAAGATAATCGAGTTCAGAGACATTCTTGCTGAAGCAGGATGTGTGGTGCTTTTTCGATGGAGTAGAGGAGACGATCAAATGGCTGCCTGTGGTCAGTTAGGTAAACCAGGTGAAATCCAAGCTCCCGTGCTTCGTGTGCCTTCTCAATTTCAAGCAGTATTGGAAGCTGCAGCGTGATTTCGTGTGCTCTTTTTCAAGCATGTTCATTCTGGTTTATCCAAAAATGTCACACAGTTTCAAAGTTGTATGCTCATGAAATCAGTCACTGATCTTGTTCAGGTTAGATAGTGTATACAGTACTTTTAGGTTTGTAATCTTTACAGTTCTCTTTCTTTTTAACTCAATTTTTTTTATTTGCAATCTTTAAAGCTGTGAGGGCTTTGGGATTAGAAGTAGTATTTCAAATTTGAGAGTGCAAAGTTCTGAAGTGTTTCTCCTTGAGCTAGATTACCAAAGATCTTCATTAGGCTTCCTGAGCATTTGGCTATGTTTCATTATGAAATTCGGAAAAAAAGTGAAAAGCTTTCATTGTCAAACGGTTCCTCACCAGCAATTGAGATGTAACTTTTTAGTACATTCGATATTTGCACTAAATTACAAATTAGTAATGACATGTAACACCAATGGATGGGATTGTTCTTCTTTTAATCTGAGGTCTCGAGTTTGAGCACCAGATATGAAAAATCCTTATCCTGGGAGTGTTTCTCCCCAAATGAAGTTGTATGTTCGAACTAGTCGGGCTCCATTATAACTGCACACGAAATGGGACCAAAGAAAAATAAAAAAGTTCATGTAGTCGATTTAGATTATCATGATTTCACTGATATGTGGTAAAACAGTTGGTATTACTTTATGCATATCTTGAGCTCACTTTATGACTAATGGTTTGACAACAAATAACCTGCCAACACTAGGCATTAGCTTTACTTTAGTAGCGCCAGCCAAGTCTCATCAACGTCAATCAATCAACCACATGGATATTAGATCAGTTTTTTTTTTTTTTTTAATTGTTTCGTAATTGATACTCTTCAAATACCCTCTTGCTCAATTAATCTGAATTGACATCGCAAATGAGTCCGTCGTTTGTTAATTTTTTAACAAACGGATGAGACGTTAATATAATTTGTAGTTCACTTAATATCAAACAATCCGTTTTGATACATGAGAATTGGTTTATCACGAGTAATTTCTCTTTGATTGTAATAGGCTATTTACAAGTATGAACTAAAATTGCTTGGGCAAAACTGTTTGCTATACAGTGTGTTGAACGCAGTTACTTGGGCTTAAAGTTTAGATACAGTAAATGTCCTCGTCTCATCCACTGTAATTTTCTTGTTTTTTTTAATCGTGTTCCATGTGACTTACAAATTCATATTTATCGAATTATCATATATTATTACATAGAAAAACATCAAAATATTAGCGGTTATACAAATAAAAACTTGCAAGAGTTATGAACATGGAAAGGTAGGAGTTATTCTCCTAAGTTGGCATGCCATTCACAAATCTATATATACTAGATAATGTGGCCCGTGCTATAATATAAATGATATGTTTTGGGGCTAACAACTGAGTTTTTGAAGCGATTGTTTGCGTGGATAAAGGAATAGGTTTTTTTATCACAAACCTGTACTTTCTTTGACGCTATTTAAGGCATAATAAGACTACCCACATACAACATTTTTGAAATATTTTATGTTGTCAATTATCATGATTGATAGCATTTTTACGATAGATTCACTTCAAGAATCAGTGGAATTTTTTGAATTTTTTCAAAACATATTTAAATTGTCAATTATCATGATTTATAGTATTTTTACGCAATTTTTAAATATAAAAAAAATTAAAAAATAAGACAAATAAATTAAAATGGACCCAATATATGTTATTTTTGTTGTCTTAATTTATGTGACACAAATGAAATTTGGAGAGACATCTAAATTTTCATATTTTTTTTAAAAATGTTTGAAGTTATTAATTATTGTGATTTATAATATTTTTATGTAACTTTGAAATAATGTACATTACTGGTCACTTTGTCCTAATTTATGTAATATGGATAAAATTACAAAATTAACCCTTTTAAAATGTCTTTAAGATATTTTAAGTTGTTAATTATTATTATTTATAATACTTTTTTGGTAATATTAAAATGATATGTGTTATTTCTTCTGTCCCAATATATGTGAGACTGACAGAATTCTGAGAGTCAACCTATTTTATTATATAGCTTTTAAATATTTTAAAGCTTTTTAAGTCATTTGTAAATGATATATGTTGCTTCCTTGATTGAGACTTTTCCATTTGTGAGATATATATATACATATCGTGCTATGCACGGGCCCAATAATATAAATGGTATGTTTTGGGGCTAACAATCGAGTTTTTGAAGCGATTGTTTGCGTGGATAAAGGAATAAGTTTTTTTATCACAAACCTGTACTTTCTTTGACGCTATTTAAGGCATAATAAGACTACCCACATACAACATTTTTGAAATATTTTATGTTGTCAATTATCATGATTTATAGTATTTTTACGATAGATTCAATACAATAATCAATGGAATTTTTTGTATTTTTTTTGAAAACATATTTTATGTTGTCAATTATCATGATTTATAGTATTTTTACGATAGATTCACTTCAAGAATCAATGGAATTTTTTGTATTTTTTTTCAAAACATATTTTATGTTGTCAATTATCATGATTTATAGTATTTTTACGATAGATTCACTTCAAGAATCAATGGAATTTTTTGTATTTTTTTTCAAAACATATTTTATGTTGTCAATTATCATGATTTATAGTATTTTTACGATAGATTCACTTCAAGAATCAATGGAATTTTTTGTATTTTTTTTCAAAACATATTTTATGTTGTCAATTATCATGATTTATAGTATTTTTACGATAGATTCACTTCAAGAATCAATGGAATTTTTTGTATTTTTTTTCAAAACATATTTTATGTTGTCAATTATCATGATTTATAGTATTTTTACGCAATTTTTAAATATAAAAAAAATTAAAAAATAAGACAAATAAATTAAAATGGACCCAATATATGTTATTTTTGTTGTCTCAATTTATGTGACACAAATGAAATTTGGAGAGTCATCCAAATTTTCACATTTTTTTTAAAAATGTTTGAAGTTATTAATTATTGTGATTTATAATATTTTTATGTAACTTTGAAATAATGTACATTACTGGTCACTTTGTCCTAATTTATGTGATATGGATAAAATTACAAAATTAACCCTTTTAAAATGTCTTTCAGATATTTTAAGTTGTTAATTATTATTATTTATAATACTTTTTTGGTAATATTAAAATGATATGTGTTATTTTTTCTTAGTTTCATGAAGATTCACATTCACAATTATCCTTTCTCTTTTCATCATATTGGTTTGGTTTGTAACAAAAAAGAAGTACATGAAGGTAAGAAATATTTCATTGCAAATTTTTATTTTTTATTTCCTCTATTTTTGTCTATATAAATTCGTATTTGGTTTGTGAATGAAACTAACATGTAACAAAAAAAAAGTACATGAAGTTAATAAATATATCATTCTCAAGTCCTTATTTTTTTATTTCCTCTATTTTGTCTATAGATTCATATTTATTTTCATGAAGATTCACATACAAAGTCATTCTCAAGTCTTTATTTTATTTTATGTACTTAGACATGCTTTCTTAATATTTTTTAATGTTTGTATTATCATTCATCAAGCAAGTATGATTAAAAAAATCTCTGTAATTCTTAACAATGTTTTGTCTGTATGCAATTGCTCTTTCTAATAGATAGTTTTTCGGATATAATATAGTTTGATTATAATATTTGTTAGATTTCAAAAAATAATAATTATTTAGTATTGTTAGTACTATTGAAAAGATAATATACAAATATATTATAGTTTAAAATTTCGTTCTTTCTTTTGACATAATTATTTTTAATTGGTATATGATATTTATTTTTATTCAGTTGATTGCATAAAATGAAGAGTTTGACATATGGATCAAAACATGATGGCGGATCTACTTGCAAAGGAAGATGATAGAAGGAAAAAAATGAAGCATAATTAGAGATTATTTTTTTACTTTGAATTGTATTAGCAACTTAGTTACTTTTGCTAGAATTTTCTAAATTTTGATTTGTATAAATAATTTAGCTAAATGTATTATATTGTCAATGCCAATCATTTGATCCTTTATTATTCTACTTTTTCTTTGTTATGAAGCAAAATTAATATAATTATCTCATTTTAACAACAAAAAAATTAATGATCATTAGGAGTTTCATTTTTATTATAATTATAAAAAAGTAATTGAAAAATAAAATATATTTCATGATGCCATTTTTTGCGTATGTAACAATCTATTTTCGTCACCGTTCTTTTTGCTTTGAAATGTATTGATGACAAAGCTTCAATAATGGCGACCAAGAGGACACTCCGTAAACAAGAAAAAAACAATCTCATTTCCATCAATTGAGAAACCCCCAAAGTTCTACTCGTACATTCAAAGAGTTTTTGTCTGTGTCATTTATTTTGTCTAAAAAAAATTAGTGGATCTTACTTTGTTGATGCGAATTGTATTAAATTAGGGTAGAAATTAATATGAAATTTAACTTAAAAAAAAACTATAGCAATCTCTGTTAGGAAGGAGAAGATCGACAAATTTAACTTAAAAAAGAAGAAGCTATAACCTTCTCTGTTAGGAAGGAAAAGATCGAGAAGATAGTCTATTGGGGGTTTGGGGTTATAATTTGGTACGGGTCTTAAATTATTTGGGCGGGTTTTTATTTAATCGGGTCAATTTTTTAATTATGGATAAAAATTAAATAAATTTTAGATAGACCGTTTAGATCATGACACGTGTCCTTCCGTTAGTCCAAAGGGTATATACACTCCAAAAATTAAACGGTAAGGGCATCAACGTCCTAAAAGTATAACGAAGGGTATTTACATACCATTTATGATAATTCAGGGGTATATTTGTCCTTTTTCCCATATTTAATTAATGCTTAAAAAATTATAATAAGCAAATATAATAATAAGGACATAATAAAAATATCAATTTTGTTTTGACGAAATCAGAGTTTGAATAGAAAATTAGTACTCCTACAAAAGATAGAGAAAATTAAAACATAGAAAATATTTTCAACGTAATATAATATATTGTTATTTCAACATATTATCTCTTATTCCATTTACTTCACCACAGTGAATATTTTGTTCTACTATATACATATACAAATTTTTTTTATATTTTATATGTTTAAAAAAAATGAAAAAACCTATGATATCACAGATGAAGAGAAATATTAATATTATCTATATATTCGATACTAACCTAAATATTACATATTTCATATTATTATCTTATAAATATTTCATATAGCCGCTCGAAGCGCGGATAATTTCACTAGTTAATAATATTTTGAGAAAATACTAAAGTCCCATTAAACTTAAACCTTATTTTGAAGTAGACACTTCAAGTTTGCGTACCCCACTGAACCATTTTCAACCAAACTAAATATGTGCTTTTTAGTAATTTTTGCTCCAATTTTCCACGCATGTCTCTCACCCCCTAATAAAATAATATAATTATTTATATTTTCTACCCGTTTTGATAAATGCCGGGTTCTTAACTTGACCTGCTCACATTTTAACCTTTCCTCTTAATCAATTTTTTTTCTTATCTTTTCTTCCCCAAAACTGTGATATTGAGTGATTTGAAGTAAGATTGATACAATTTTCACTCTTTGGGTTGATTCAATTCTTACATAAAATTAATATTAATGAGTTCTAATTTACTTGTATCGGTTAATGAGGCTGTTTTGAGAGAATCTAGTGGAGTATGAACAATAAATATTTTTAAGGTCAATCTCTATCTTTCTTCTTTTCTTTGCTTTCTGTGTGTTTTGTCTGAGTTTTTCTTCAATTTTTGAATAATATTATCAGTGGACGAAGGAGAAGCTAGCATCTGCGTGTGGTATTCTCTTTCTGAAAATGTTTTTTTATAAAAAAGTCAGAAATTCGAAGATTGCTGTCGACTTAATTGTTAAAGAATGACAAAAGTCCACGTCGATGGTTAATGAGATGGGTGGACTCCTTATAAGGCTTGGGCAAATCCTCCTCTCTTTGAGCTAGCTTTTGGGGTGTGAGTTAGGCCCAAGACCTAATTTAACATGGTATCAGAGCAGGGTCTGTCTCATCCGATGTTGGGGGCCCCCCAAAATCAAAATTGCCCACGCACCAGATGCTAAGCACTGGGCGTGAGATGGGGTGTTAAAAGAATGACAAAAGTCCCACGTCGGTGGTTAATGAGATGGGTGGACTCCTTATAAGGCTTGGGCAAATCCTCCTCTCTTTGAGCTAGCTTTTGGGGTGTGAGTTAGGCCCAAGACCTAATTTAACATTAATGTAGTGCTCATCTTGTGAAAGTGAATTGAAGTTTGAGAGATATTGCAGTGTTGACTAATCATGGCACTGTAGCAAGCTTCCATGGCTATCAATGGTGTTTGAATAGATTTGGGGAAGATGGGTCTTCTTCTAAAATAAAGAATTCAATTTACAATGCCACATGACCGTTTTATATTGGTTTGGAGTTGTTTTTTAAAACACTCACGCGTCCTAGTAACGTAAAAACACAGAAGGTGCAGAAGCGGGTCTAAATGACATATTTAATTTGATAGAATATAGTTCAGTGGATAATAAAACTTTCGCAAACTTTAAGTGTCTACTTCAAAATAAAGTTTAAGTTTAATGGAGACTTTATGTATTTTCTCTAATATTTTCATAGCACAACCCTCTTTTGCTGGCATTTGAAATGCATCATCAAACACAAAAAATACTAACATTAAAGAAAAAGAGAGAACTGTTGAAAATATCTTTAATTTGACGTAAATTATTAGTAGTTTCTTTTTTGACCATCTTAAAAGTACTGGCCTATTTGACTAACTGAACTTAAGTAGATCCCTGATCTTGTAACTTAATTGAAATACATTTCTAAATTTTTGTTAAGTTTAGAGATGTTTTTAACACCTTTCTTAGATTTTTATTAAGAATCACATCCTCCTACAAAAGTTTGAGCTTATTCATTATGTCATATCGCAAATAAAATGTGTATTTAAGTTCAGTTAGTCAAGTAAATAAATGTTTTTAAGATTATCAATAGTTTGGTGACAAAATTATAAATTTGACTACATGAGTGCACCCTCCGTCTCAAAATACTTGCCATGCCTTACTATTTGTCAATTTATAAATCATTAACTTTCGAAAAGTGAAACTGATAATTAGACGAAAGTAATTATTGTAGGTTGTTAACACGCACTTTCACTGCGCGTACAGTAGGAAACTTATTGTATTTGGCGGTATCTCCATCACTTCACCACTCACTCCAAATTCCTGTACCTGACTCCTTTCCCTCTCCTCTCTTCTCCCCTTTTTCCCCTATAAAAAAGCAAGTAACAAAGCAATAGAACCAAATTCTCTCCGTCGAAAACTCTACACAGAACCATAATACTATATCCGGAGTTTTCCACAACTTTCTAGAACAGTACCTGAAACAGTTACCCATGGGAGATTGTAGCAACGGCGAACGCTTACCGAGGTGCAACTCCGGCGCGGCTCCGTTCGACCCCCGGCGGTTCTCTAAGCATATCCATGATAATGTTCATGGCAACATCTATCTCGATAGGGTACGGTTTCTAATTCGTTTTTTTTTGTTATGCTTTGCATGCTTTGATTCTTATCAAAATCGGAGTTCCTTTTTTGCTTTTGAAAAATTTGAGTTTATTTCTAATGATTTTGAGTTTGAAGTGAAGAAATTAGTTCGGTGATTTGCATTTAATTTTTCCAGTTTGAGTGTGAAATTTCTAATTCCGTTGTTCTGTTTTGCACGTTATAATCGTTTAAAACTCAGTGTTCGTGTTTGCGTTTTAGCATGATTATACTAATTTCCGCTCCTTTTGTTTTTGAAATGGAATAATTGACTTTATAATTTGCATTTCTCTTTCGTGTCCGGTAGTGAGGTTTCGTAAATCGTAGCGTATACTTTATTATTTTTCGTGTCGCTGTTCTTATCAAAATCGGAGTACTTGTTTGTTTTTCAGCACAGTTACTCACTTACTCTTATTTCTGCTCTGCTTTACTTTTGATTCGAGGAAGTTGATTCAATAATTTAAATTTATTTTTCCTGTTCGAGTGGTGAAATTCCACCACGTATGGCTTGTAACTCTGTTATACTTGCACGCTGTAGTTATTTCCGAACTCGGCGTTCATCTTCGTCTTTTCCAAATTATATAGATTTACGGTTTTGTGGCTTTTCTATTGAAGATATTGATCGTAATTTGAAGTGCTTTTGTATTCCTGACCGGAAACCTCATGTAAATTCAGATACAGCATAAAAAATTTAAAAATCAGATACAACGTCATCCGGTATGAGAAAAAGGAAAAGTTCAGTGGGTTATACATGTTGGTTGTATGCTATGCGTGTACGCGAATATTTGTGTAGTGGGAATAGTTTCTGAAAAAAAGGATACACTTTCCTTTTCTGGTGAATAGTTGCTTAGTCAAGTTTATATGGGCCTATAAACGGCTGTTTTTACCCATGCTTTAGCGTAGCAAGACATATCAATTAGGCTAAATATGATCACGACCAGTTTGACTCTTTCAGAACCTTTTTGTGATTCGTTTATTCCATAATTTTGCTGACTCTTTTCTTTCAAAGTAGTAGCAGCTATACATCCGTCTCGATTGATATGGATAGTTCGAATTTCAACAGTTTAATTTTGATCGTAAATTCGGGCATGAAATCAATTTTTTTGGAACAAGATTATATATTTGAAAATTACGTAAAAAGTACTATACGTATCAATGATTGACAATTCAAAATATAATTCAAAATATTTAAATGATAAATGAAAAAATCAATTCAAAATATTTAAATGATATATGAAAAAATTACGGTCATAAACTTGTTTGAATCTCAAAATTTGAATGGTGTCACATAAATTGGCACATATACTTATTAAGCAGATAGGTAACTTTTCATAGAGCAACATTATTTCCTTGACAAAAATCATCATTCACTGTTTAACGTTTGATTCTAGTGAAAATAGAATTTTTAAGTCAAATAGAATTTATATACGAGCATGTAGGATATACGTTTTCTTTTATATCAGCACTAGGTGAAGATATCAGATTTTCTATATTTATACTGTATTTAACAACAGTTCCTCCCTTCGGCTGCAGCAAGCTCTGAAGTTCATCGACACTGAACAATTTCAGAGGCAAGCTTAATTTGTTTGTAAATTGTTTCTTTTCTGCTCCAGACATTTTTGATTGGCTGGAAATAATTCCAATTGTGTTTTCTTGTGTATGTTGTAGGCTTCGTGAATTGAAGCAGCTAGGTACGCATATCCTTTATTTCTTATCAAGTTTCCCTCAAGGAGCAGGTGAATGTGTGTATATGTAAAGCTGTTGTCTAGACAAACATTTTAATGTTTAGGATAATGATTTTACGGTTACTGGTGAAAATAAATATTTGAGGCTTTGCAAATGCATATCTTTAAGGCTTGTAGGATAAATTTGGCTGTGGGATGACACAAGCACATTTTGGTTTCTGCAGCTGTTGAACAAGTTGCAGGTGGATGTATCCGCTTTTATGTCCTTCCATATTAGAGAAGTCTAGTAATAGTTTTCTGAATTGCTGCGCAATAATTCCATTTAACTTGACTCTCATGAACATTTTATCAGGTGATGGTGTGGCCATCTGGACTACTAGATCCCTGACTGTGTTATTTTATTGTCAACTTGCTCAAAGTTTTTCAACAACAAATTCTTCAAAAGAATTTTTTTTTCAGAGAGAGGCTGAACCAAAATGAGAAACAAGATTTCCACATATGGTGCATGTGATCATTTTAACTTTGTACTCCTTAAGAGGCACCAACAACTATTTCTTTCAGCATGTCTGTGTTTCAGATCACTTCATCATATCTGGGTCATCTATATATGCACATTAATGCTTAAAGCAATCAAATTTTTTAGATCATAACTGCAAGTTGTCTTTTCCGTACTAATCTTCTTTTAGAAAAGGAGTATTGTGAGGTTCTTGTGAATCATCAATTAGAGTTACTGCTAGCAATTTGGTCCTCTAGTGGTAACAACTATACTTCTTGAATCAAAACTGTAGTAGAGCCAGTACACTTGTAAAGGCAGAAACTTTTTCTATTTCTTGGTGTTTCATATCAGATATAAATAATCTGGATTAGAACTTTTTCAGAAAGTATATGCTCTTTTCCGGTGCTTTGCCATCATTTGGGATTTGAACTTGTAATATTGACTCGATCTCAATTTCTGTCCTAGGTCTTACATGTATGGTTTATCCTGGGGCTGTGCACTCTCGGTTTGAGCATTCCCTAGGGGTCTATTGGCTGGCCAGTGATGCTGTACATAAACTTAAGACCTATCAAGTAGGACTATATCCTTATATCTTGGCCCTATATTTGATAAAATGTTTTGATGGATGTGCTGTGGTTGTAGGGACAGGAGCTTGGCATCGAATCTTTTGATGTACAGACAGTGAAACTTGCTGGTGAGTCGAACATACCAGCTAAGGTTCATTTTCTCAACAGCATCTGACCATTGTTCTTACTTGAGCTCATCTAGGATTACTACATGATGTGGGTCATGGGCCATTCAGTCACATGTTTGAGCGTGAATTTCTTCCTCGGGTTCGTGACGGCATTAAATGGTAATTGTTAATATAAAAACTCTCTCCTTTTCCATCCATCAGAACTGGAGGATTGGAGACAGTGAACTCCTTTAATGCTTCCCTTGCAGAGATATTTGGTCCGCTTGGCACTATAAGTATTCCTAAAATTCTTATTCTTATTGGGCATCAATGCATGATTGTGTAGGCTTTTTTCTACCTATCTCTGCCCCTTTCGTTCATTTTAAGTGAAAGTACTCCTCTGTCCTCTTCATCCAAAAATTAGTCGATGACTGAAAGAGTTTGTATGACATTGCCATAACAATCACTATTCATGGGTTTTATCCTTATTCCCCCAACAGAAATATTTGCAGTATTTGTGGCTTCAAAAGAATGCCATCACTAATGTAAGCTGAAAATGTTGAGATCAAATTTGACATTTATGTATGGTTAGGTATATCGCAAAGCAGAGTGTACCGTGTGCTTATTTATCCTCAATTGCAATTCTCTTTCTCTTTCTTGCAATGAAGAGAAGACTGGCAACACCACTCGTTCATTGATCATGTTTTACCATTACTTTACTACTCCCTGTAGTTTGAAGCTATTATGTACCTTTCCAAACACTGAGCAACAGATCTTGTTTAAGAATTTCATTATTTAAGTCTACTTTTCTAAGTACTTCCTGAATAAAAAATTTTCAGGTCCCATGAAGATATGTCTTTGAAGATGATAGACTACATTGTTGATGAGCATAGCATTGATATTGATTCTGGCACTTTGAAGAAAGTAAAGGTCGTATGAAAATGAAATGTTATTCATGATGCCTTTTTGCATCCTTAAATCAAATGTTCCCTCCCCCTAAAGATGCAACCTCAGCAGACTAGGATTAGTTGCCCCAAGTTTGTCTGCCTGCATAATTTACTATGCGTTTGGAATGTTATCTTCTTGAGCTGTACCTCATGCTTTCAGAATTATATAATGTAAGATTGAAAACTTTTCACGTTCATTATCATGAGCTTTATTTTCAGTTTGTTCTGGAGCTTTGTTTTAGATTCCAAGGGTGGTTTTGCTTTCCAGCCCTACCTTTGGCTTTCCTCTGAGTGGTATTAAATCTCTACTCGTTTCTACACAGGAAATGATAGTTGCTTCTGAGGAAGGTAAATCAGTGGTGAGCATTTTTATGGGAGGATTTGAGTTGATGTGTTAAGATATTAAAATAGCTAAGATCTGAGAACACATGCTGAATCTTTTTGCTTCATTACTTACTGCTATACAGAGCTCAAAAGAGAAGCAGTTCTTGTATGACATTGTTGCTAATGGGCGAAATGGAATAGATGTTGACAAGTAAATTCCCTTCTCCTTTTACTTTCTTCAGATGCAGCTTAAATTATGCGCTTGCAGCTGCATTAGATGAATCAATCTTTTTGCAGATTTGATTACATAGAGCGTGATACCAGAGCTTGTGGTCTTGGGTGCAATTTTCAGTTCCAGAGGCATGATCTCCGTACTAAATTTGATCCTTCTTTCTTATTATAACTGAAAGAATTTGTCCCAGAATCATTACTAACTCTGGAAAAGCAAATACTACATTTTTGTTACTTGCAGGCTAATGGAAACAATGCGTGTTATAGACAATGAAATATGTTATCGGGCGAAGGAATGTTAGTATTCTTGAAGCTATTATGTTACATGAAAAATTAACATCTTCCACATATAGGAAGAGTCCTCACATTGCATTTGATGATTTTGTTAGATCTTACAATCCACAAGCTATTTTCCACTCGTGCTGATTTGCATCGTACGGTCTATACGCATCCAAAAGTGAAGGTTCAAAGAATTTCCCCTACTTGTGTATTTCAAAATGTTTCCACTTTCTACTACTTATAACTCACTGTGAGTGCTTGTTTGTTTTCTTTTTCCATCTTATAATTTGTAGGCAATAGAGCTCATGGTTGTAGATGCCTTGATAAAAGCCAATGACTATCTTCAAATTGATTCACTCATCAATGAACCAGCTCAGTACTGGATGGTTAGATAATCTTTTTCATTGATACAACCCAAAATCCCATGCTTGTCTGAACTTTAAACCATCGGTTAATTAACAATGTGCAGTTAGATGATACAATAGTCAAAACAATTGAAACTTCTACCCATCAAGATCTAGAGGAATCCAGAAATCTGATTCGTCGAATTCGGAGGAGGGACATATACCAGGTACCCACTATAAAACCAGAGTCTCCAGAGTCGTAATTCTAGTTGAAAAACATCTACAGCTTCAAGTTGTTTCCTACTATATATGTCCTAAGGATCTTATTTTACGGAACTGTTCATGTCATCTTTTAACATTAACTCCTATGCTATTCTATTATTCTCGTTCTCTATAAGTTGAATGATATCAACTATCAAGCTGTTTACAGCAAGGATAAAAGGGCGGCTGAAATATATTTGCATCAATATTCTGACAGTTTTGTAATGAGTTTGCTGTGCCCAAGGAGAATCTGGAGTATTTTAAAAATGTTACGGCTCAAGACATAATTTGTTCCCAGGTAACTCCAATATCCTCTTTTGTTTACCTGATAGTGATGATCACTCCCTCATAGAGTAATTCTTTAACCAGAATTCTGATGCTCAATTGAATGAGGAAGATGTCATTGTTACTAATGTCAAAATTGATTTGACTAGTGGAAGGAATAATCCTTTGGAAAGGTACTTTCGAATCTTGGGGTTATTGTTGCTCATGATCTCATGCTCGTGTGATGACTAATGCCTTTTCTTTTCTTCTGTTCATGTGGTCCATTGTCATGCAGGATCAGCTTCTTCCAGGTATTATAATTTTCTTTGTCCTGTTTACTTTCAAGAAACTTGCACAAAAATAGACAAACAAATATTTGTTTCAGGACTCATTATCTTCTTTCCCTGAAGCTACAAAGATGCAAATTTCGGTTAATTTGGCTAAACAAGTGTTTAGTGAATGCCCTTTGACAATTTCCACCTATAGTTAGAAATTAACCTTACCATAAATGGTACTCTTCATGCTAGTTGTATAAATCTCTTTTGCAACTTTCAATTATATTTGTCTTGGATTATCCAGTGATTTTGTTCATCTATACTGAACTGTTGAAAACACTGATGTGTTTCAGTAAAAATGAAAAAGACTATACAGGATAGAAATTAAATTTCCTTATGGTTCTCAAACATCGATTAGCTCTGGAAGTTCATAGCTCCAGTTCTCAAACATCAATTCAATATCTCTATCTGCTATAATTGTTGTCTGGAAAAAATGTAAACCTTACATGGCAAATATGTTTTTGGGGTACATGTTTCAATTTTCCGCCGGCTTCTCTAATGTGCTACTGTTTACAGGATTATGATAGCTTTGAGAAATCCCATATAAAGGATGATCGCATCAGTCACTTGTTGCCTGCGTGTTACCAGGATCTGATTGTTAGAGTTTATACAAGAGATCCTAAACTGGTCAGTGAGATACAACCAAATCCACGCTCCCTTATTCTCCTTTAAACTGCCTGCTTCTCTTTTGTCTCAAGCACACTTGTCTTAGAATTTAAAAAATATACGAGGACTGTATATGCTTTGGTAATTTTGGCAAAAATCTTACAGGTAGAAGCTGTTTCCAATGCATTTGAGAATTTTCAGATGAAGACTTATGGGGAGAAAACGCAAGTGCATGCAACTCCTGAAAAAAAGAAACGCCTGAAGTACAAGGAGAAATGAATGTCTATATATCTGCTTCTGGCCAGATGTACATTTTGTGAATACACATCAACCATAGATTCTCACTTTCATATCGTAATATAGATGTGCAGTCCATGTGTATGACTAAACTGATAAGTAGTATCTTTTTGGTTGATCTTGAAAAGTTTAGATGCATAAATCCCTTGCTACTTGATATTGCTAATATAGGTTCTGTAATTGCACCGTTAGAACGGCGTTGGTCACATATATGTAGGTGTGTTTGGTATGTGGTGGAAATTGTTTTTTTTTTTTTTTAATTTTTCCTATGTTTGGTTGGTCAAACATTTTTTTTTTAAAAACAAATTCTTCCCTCCAAACCTCAACCCTTGACCATCCCACCTTCGAACTCCCAATTCTCCATCTTATTTTGCCTTTATAGTGTTTTGCTAGATACATATAAATGCTCTTGAGATAATATTCTCTTACTTGCCCCTATTAAACAATAGAAAATAAGTAAGATATTCAATTTTTTTTTTTTTTTTGTGAAAAGCAATTTTCTTAGTGGGAAGTGCTTTTGTAAGTGCCTTGGAAGTTTCATAGAGCACTTGAAATAGAAAGATTGTTTTAGAGAGGCAGATAGGCGAAGGATCATTTCATTTCAATAAAATAAAAAGGGAAAAGGGTAAAAAATATCTCTCAACTTTGTTTTATTAGTTGACTTTACTCTCCCCGTTAAAATAAAGTTAATTTTACCCCTCCCGTTACTAATTTCACCAAATTTACCCCTCAATTGGATGGAAAACCCAAATCAATTAAAATTACCCAATTTCAAGTAAATGACCCGATTTTCTCTTTTAATCCGAACCGGACCCATTTATATCAAATTAGAACTCTAAACCCATCTCTCTAATCTTCTCCATCTCCTTCTTCCATTGAAACACATACTACTAAAATTGACAGCAAATGTTCTGTAGTTAAACTCATGCATATTTGTCCTTCCTACTAAAATTGCACCACTATTTCGTAATTTTGACACAGAAACCCCATCTGCCTTCACCTGGCAAACCTCATGAAACCATTTAGAACCACCTACACTTTTTAACAGGGAAAAATGTTCAGTTAAAAATGACAGAGATATTTACGGAGGAAATATGAAGTTAAACAAATACCCGGATGAAAATAGCAATCACCGTCATCCTTGACTGCAATGAAAATCCCATCCAAGATTGACAGTGGGTTTCCTCCATGACCACATTCAATAGAGGAAGTATATGAAGAAGATTAGAGAGATTTAGCACACTAGTGTGGTCGGAGCTTGGAGCTCGTTCAATCATCGGATTTTGCTTTCCTGCGGGCAGATCTAAAACTATGTTATTGCTTGCTTGTTGAGCCTAGCTGGATATGAAGTTGTGGCTGTTGTTTTCGAGCCTTGATTCTCGCCTGATTGTGTTGTTGGTTTGATCTGTTAGCGATGCTTCAGTTGTTTTCCGATGGGATTTTGGTCGGGGTTTTGTTGGTTGGTTGGTTGTTTGGAGGTCGGAGAACTGGTTGTCTGGAAGTCATTTGCTGGTTGTTTTAGCTTGGGTGATGGAGGTCTGGGTTCTGGTGGGCTGAAGTGTGGTTTTACCACTGAATTTTGGCATGGAGAGGGTGGTGTTTGAGAGCTATTTCAGGTCGGTTTCGTGGCTGTTTGAATGATTCCGACGGTGGGTGGTTATTTTGGCGTGGAGAGAGTGGTGTTTGAGAGCTGTTTCAGGTCGGTTTCACGGCTGTTTGAATGATTCCGACGGTGGGTGGTTTGCTTAATGTTGTTCCAGCTTGGAACTGGCCGGAAATGGAGAAGAAAGGTCTTGTTGTCGTCACCGGAAAGTAGAGGAAAATGGGTGTGTTGTTAATGTTTTCTGCTTGATGTCGTTTCTGGTTTTTGGGGGTTTTGAGTGGTGGTTTCAGGTGGTCATTTGGAGGTTGTTTTGGTGGTGTTTCGCCGGAAAACGGAGAAAATGAATGGGGATTGCCGGAGCTTGATTTGGGGTTTTAATTTGGTATAAATGGGTCGGGTTCGGATTAAAAAGAGAAAAAATTGGGTTATTTAATTGAAATTGGATAATTTTAGTTGATTTGGGTTTTTCATCCAATTGAGGGATAAATTTGGTGAAATTAGTAATGGGAGGGGTAAAATTAACTTCATTTTAACGGCGAGGGTAAAGTCAACTAATAAAACAAAGTTGAGGGGTATTTTTGACCCTTTTCCCAAATAAAAAAGGCAATTCTCTGCCATCAAAATATAAATCTAAGAAAAGATTTTTGAATCTTGTGATATAAAATTAAAAATATTTTTATAAAAAAATTAGACTATAAACAAAAGATGCATATATTGAAACAGTTACACTGGAAAATGTTCTAAAATTTGCGCCTATATCATTCTTTTGATCCATTTACGTCATTACTGTTAACAAATTGTTTGGCGTTTGTCTTTGCCATTAATGGAGTTCCATTATAAAGTAGGTGCACTCAATGTGTCCAAATTTTGGAGAAAAATGTTTAAAATTTACCCCTTAATACTTATAATTTTAAATTAACAATAGGTTGGGGTTCAAGGGAAAAAACAATTTTTTTTTCCTAACGACAGGAATAATATTACACCAAAAATTTGACGGAGGTTAAATTCGGTCACTCGTGACCATTATTTCGATGAATTTCAGTTAAAGTATTTGATTTGGGAGATGAAAAGAAGAATTCAATAGAAAAAAAGCAATTGATGGAAGAGGTATTCATGCAAGAAGTTTCTGCTTGGTGCAATCTTCAACACTCCAATATCGCTGAGGTACTTGATTAATTTTTCTTATTTCCTTATAATATATTATTTGCAAATTAGCTGAAATATATATATTAATTTTGTGCAGTTCATTGGAGCTATAAATAAGAAGAACATGTCAAAGATAAAAATGAAATGTGAAAAAGGTGCAACACTGCCAATAAATGGATGTTGCATAGTTGTGGAATATGTTGGTGGAGGTACTCTTCTGTAGCCTACGATCAAGTACATGCTTTCTTCTGTCAAGGTGCCTGAGATCCAACTCCTTAGCAACACATCATTCTCCTCCCAGTCATCAACAATGTTGTTGTCTTCTGCACTCTTCTCGCCTGCTACAGTTTCCTCAATAGTCTTTCCAGTGGAACAAGTATCTTTAGGTGGTTCTGTGATGAGGTAGGTTAATCTCATCACTTGAATCAACTGAGACATTTGTGTCTTTCATATAAGATAGTTCGCTGGCTTAAGTTTAATGGAGCAGGACGAAATAAGATGATGAAGTGAAAAGGTCAAAAGAGTGTTGGTAGAAGGGGTCATTGCGGTTCGATTTTGTGGTTGTTTTGGTTTTGATCTAATACGTTAAAGAGCGGAAAAGCTTTATTGCTCTAATACCATGTATAAATCTCACGTCTAGGACTAGAGAAATCAAGAATTGTATTGATGATTGTAATATTGAGTTACAAGCTCCTTATATAGGAGAAGAGTCCTATTCTAGTTATACTAGGAAACCTACTACAACACAATTATTTACATGAGTAGTATTGTATTATAACTCAAATACTTTATCCTAGTCGACTCCTGCAATATACAGTAGCTTAGTTGTACATAACTTAGGAATTAGTAGTGTAGTCCTAGTATGACTCTAACTCTAACTCGTCAGCCTGCTTCGATGGACATGTTCCTTCGACATGTTCCATCAGTCTTCAAGCTTCCTTCAACAATGGCCATACATGATTTCCAAAATAAAAAAATGAACTTGAGTGCGTAACCCGTCTTTATCGTTTTATTTTATTTTATCTTTTATCTTCCAAACAGTTTACTTTGTTTTCTAGACTTGTACCAAACTTGTAGAGGCACTTATATATATGACTTTCACATTTTGGGATTTTCATTTGTATTTTTGCACTTTAATTATATTAATCGACTGAGTTACACTATTTTATTCACTTTTTACTTAATATAAACTTTGTTTGTATTATAATTATCATTTTGGTTCAGTTTAAGAATTATCCTACTGAGTTAGTGGTAGGTGTGCATCACGACTCATAATTTTGAATCATGACAGTCATAAGGCACAAGTCGTACATTATATTATAAGTATATATACCCCTTTAAAAATAAAATAAAAAAGAACAATTTTATCAAGCCATTCTTTGATTTTCTTTTATACATTCTATAGATGCTTATTAGGAAATTCTTGAGAACTTTCTAGAAGCTAATAACATCAAATAGTCCTCAGAGCCACTCGTTGATTTTCTTTTATAGTACATTCTATAGATATTTACTAGGAAATTCTTATAGAAGTTTCTAGAACCTAATAACATCAAATATAGTGCCACTTAATTTATCCCGGAATTAATAATTAGTAACGGAATAAGTTATTTTTTTTCTTGGGTGGTATAGTAATTCCGGGATAAAATAAGTAAATAACAAAAATATCCCTTTAAATCATTTTTATACATCACTTTTCACATTCGTGAAGGGTATTGTTGTAAACAAAAAAAATGTTCTTAAAATTTATTATTTTAAATACAACAAACCAAACACTCAATAAAAAAATAATCTTACCATAACTTATCTCATCATAACTAATCATATCATAATGAATTCAAACCAAACCGTTTATAGTAATTAATAATCCCTTTCTAATAGGAAACAAATTATAGTAATTAATAATCCATTTCCTAATAGGAAACAAATTATAGTAATACTATCTATATATACGTCCCTTCCGCCGATGAACAAAATTTTTGTGAGAGTAATCAATAGTAAAATTTGTTTGAAAAAAGTAATCAATACTAGCTAGATCAAGTAATACTACAATGAATAAAATTTGGTGTGCTAACATGAAGAAACAAGAATGGGAACTTGATGCTTCAAAACTTACTGTCAAAAAATTAATTGGCCTTGGAGGTTTTGGGGTAGTTTATAAAGGCCTTTACAACGGAAAACAAGTTGCAGGTATAATTAATTACTAATTTTTCATTACTGTTTATGCATGTACTTCCTACTTTGTTTGCCAAGTTATTTTACTAAATTAGGATTGCGTTTCTTGAATATTCGTGTTAGAATGACTATAGTAATTAATTATTATACTAGGGTTACGTTTCTTGAATATTGTTGTTAGAAGGACTACAGTAAAACTATATTAGTGTTACGTTTCTTGAATATCATTGTTAGAATGACTATAGTTTACTACATTAGGGTTGTGTTTTATGAAAATTGTTGTTAGAGTGAAACTATATTAGGGTTACGTTTCTTGAATATTATTGTTAACTAGAATGAATATAGTAATATGTATTAGGGCAATGTTTCTTGAATATTGTGGTTAGAATGACTATAGTAAAAAATTTGGTAAGTTTTAATTAATACACATTATTTCGATGAATTTCAGTTAAAGTATTTGATTTGGGAGATGAAAAGAAGAATTCAATAGAAAAAAAGCAATTGATGGAAGAGGTATTCATGCAAGAAGTTTCTGCTTGGTGCAATCTTCAACACTCCAATATCGCTGAGGTACTTAATTATTTTTTCTTATTTCCTTATAATATATTATTTGCAAATTAACTGAAATGTATATATTAATTTTGTGCAGTTTATTGGAGCTATAAATAAGAAGAACATGTCAAAGATAAAAATGAAATGTGAAAAAGGTGCAACACTGCCAATAAATGGATGTTGCATAGTTGTGGAATATGTTGGTGGAGGTACTCTTCAATCCTATCTTTCCAGACATACAATGAAGAAGAAATTGCCTTTAGATACAATAATACAACTTGCATTGGATGTTGCTAAAGGGTTGAGTTACATTCATTCTAACAAAATTGCTCATAGAGATGTGAAAACTGAGAATTTACTTGTTGACAAAACTGGAAGAGTGAAGATAATTGATTTTGGACTCTCAAGTGAGTTTTATTCACTTGGATTAGATTATCCTCCTATGATGGTTGGAACAAGTGGAACTATGGGTTATATGGCTCCTGAGGTTTTGAGCGATCCGTCATATGATCACAAGTGTGATGTCTACAGCTTTGCAATTTGCTTGTGGGAAATGTATACTTGTTTAGATCCATACCCTGAACACATTTCTCAAAGTAAAATCTCACATCAAATTTACAAGGATCGAAGGCCTGAGATACCAAAATGTTGTCCAACAGCATTGTCAGATATAATGGAGAAATGTTGGGATGTAAAGCCACAAAATAGGCCAGAGATGAAGGAAGTGGTACACATGTTAGAAGCCATTCAGACGAGTACAAAACCAAGAAAGCACCACATATTTTGCTTTGCCTAGAAAGACAGGAATCACAGGAGTTTATAATTAATCTGTAAATTGTAATGTTATATGAATAAAGTTCTTCAAACATTCTTACTTGAGCATAGAGCACAGCAGAAAACCAAAAGCATAAGTGCAATGAGAAATTAAAGACTACTTGTGCTTTATGCAATGTGACATGCTTGTATGCAACATCTTTTAAGACAACCAGTTTTTTTTATAATGATATCTAATTCTATTTAAAATGTAAAACGGTTCTCATTTGGGAAATGAAGATTTATAAATAGCAGTGAACTAGATTGGACCAAATCACGTTCAGTCCCATCTGATACTGCTGGAAACAGTTTAAAATTCCAAAAATAAAAAAGAACACTATTAAGACCTTCACAACAACAAAATACCCCATTGTGATCCCACAAGTGAGGCCTTTGCTTCTCACAAATTTCCTCCAGTCAAAAATGTGGGACGTACTCATATGTAAGAGAAAACAGCACAAACATGGAAAGCAACGCAACCTTGAAGCTGGAATGAATTAAGAGAATCACAAAATAACCAACTTTTAACCTAAACTATTTATCATTTTTATGCTTGAAAGAACACAGTTCTACAATGATTTGATAAGTAGCAAGAGCATTATGAATATGTTTCCAAGTTACAGGTGAGAACATAACTGAAATTAGGATTTGGGCCTCAAAGCCAAACCTGTCTCGACTTTCTTGATTTCAAATATAAGCATCCTCCACATCTTCAGAACAAACATTTCAGCTTCTTCATCTAATATACTTTGGAGCCTCTCCAGCATCTCAGTTGCCTTGACATGTTCTTGAGTGCTGGAGACGATGTAGTCTACCAGCGTCGGCTCCTCCTCACCAAGAAAATCAGTGATCTTCTTACTGATCCACGGTCTCATCCTTTCATGCAATGCATTCTGTGAAAAGCAAAGCAGATATAAACTATAAACATTCACAGCTCCAATAAACCAACAATAGAAAACCCGAAAAGAGAAGATAGGATACACCAAATGTAACTTGGCAAAAGCTCAGAACATAACATTCAAGTTATTTTAGCCTAGAGATTCAGCTTTAAGTGAAACAAGTCTATAGGACCTTGGGACTCCAACAGGAACTAAAGCGCTAAATGAAGAGTTTACATGACTAGCAGTTGTTAACATTCCTAACGGTTGGAAGGTGGATCTAATATCAACGACAGCTGAAAGGCGACCAATTTTCTGTTCACTTGTAAGCAGTGGTTCTTGCTGTAAAGAATTCTTAAAAGCCAAAGTACTCTCTTGCCATGCATCCTCCCAGTAAACTCAGGATGCCTATATTCCTTTCTTGATCAGGAACTTAGGATGCCTACATTCCTGTAAGTCCTCACCACATGTCAAGGAGTTGAATATTACTTTCAGTCAACTACCCGGTCAAGCTTAATACTCTTCTCACTCAAGCATGGTCAAACTCCTCTCGAGGCATGCTTAAGCCCTTAGTCCGTGAAGCTTGGTTCTGCGCAGGTTAGATGTTTCGCTTCACTTAACCTGTATTCCAGAGTTGGCACTAGGTTGGGTCTCAATATCTATAAGTTTTTGCTTAAAGAGGATAGCACTGATCCCATTATCCACCGAGTTTAGAAGGCTGTGATTGGTCCAAAGGGCGGGTCACAGACGGATTTCTCGGTTATCAAAAAAAGAAAAAAAGAGGATAGCACTGATGACAAAATAGTATCTATTCATCAAACTTCATGAATAAACATTTTCGTGATTAAGAAAAAGAAATTAGAATTTAACAATAGATAACAAGACATAATTAGCAACTTGCATCTGAATCTGAAATTCAAAAAACATTGTACTTGATAAACAAGGGTTTTTACGTTTTATATATACTTAGCTTTTCAATTCTTTTGATCTACAAAATTGTCATTAGGTTTTGTAGTGATTTTTTCCTTGCATACAAAGTCCATGCTTCGATTGCACTTTACACTTGAAGCCCCAACAGGCACTTGCACTTTTCTATGCTTTCCACCTCTGATTATACTGCTGATGAGGTGATCGTATTCAGAAAGTCCTATGATTTCTGAACATTTTTTATCTAATTGCTAATTACATGATTCAGCAATAAAGCAACTATATTGGTGCTCAATACAGAAGAATTATTTTCTAATCTTGTAGGAAGACCAATAAACTTATTATCAAGGGACACTATGTCTTCCCAGAAAATGAGAAAAACTACTGTTTAAGAAATCAGAAGTAGAGCCACAGTGTCTTCCACATTCAAATAGTGGAGAACAAATAGGAATACATAAGCTACTTCATCATGTTAGTGGATGTGTTAATCACTTGATCCATCAGGATATAGGAATTTTTCCCTCCCATTTACCTCCGTATGCTGTTGTGCAATTGATAAATTGACCCTCCATCTCCCTCCTAATGAGATGTTTTGATTCCAACGTGGACTTTCAGGCAGTCGTGCAAAAAGCAGATGCCTTAAAAAATATAAAAAAACTACCATAGAATTACCATGAATATACGTACTGCTAAACTAAGGACACTATACTCAATCCAACAAAAGCTATCTTTATTTACCAGAGTCAATGAACCAAGTTTTAGAACTAGCATACATCTCACATATCTCATGTATACGCAATATCTTAGGAGTTCTTTGGCATCTGCCCATAAGGAATACTGAAACTCATTCATCAGTTGTGTTTCTTGTAAAAACAATTTAAAAGGAACCATCATGGTGCTCTTACTATTACTGTGCTCAAACATAAAAATAGTGACAAAGGAAACATTTGATTGGAAAGAAAGACCGGCTATTTCGGGGGAAAAACCTATATCAAATGTTGGCTGACATTAGGCTAAAAATCAACCACAATAGTAATAAAAGCCCTCCAAATCCTATAAGCTGAGTGGGTATGCTATCTCTTACGTCTCCTCCCACTCTGCTTTATGTTAATTGCAGGAACACATCAATATGAAAATGCATAGCTGTGTTCGCTAGAAGTTGCAAGTACCAGATAGCATACAACTCTAAGAATAAAACATATGAATTAACTTGGTAATATTTGCTATAATCCGATAAAACCATCTCATGTATTAAAGCAAGAGAATGAAACTGACAGATCATTTCTCACCTTGTCATAAATAGCCCAGTTTATCTCATAAGAGAACAACTCATCTTTGGTCTTTGGAATCATGTCAATCAATTGCTTTGCATCTAAAAGCTTCTGATTATCAGGCGTCTTAACCTTATCAGGTCTAGGTTCCCGAACTCTGTCATGATCAAGGTTTCTACTGTCATCCCTGGTTCGGTTAGTCTCCTCATCATGCCTGTCCCGATCCCTCTGGCTGGATCTGTCATGAGTTCTTCTGTGTCTCTCCTTCTCTACGTCAGGCCTCTCTTCTTTAGCATTGACATTTGAAATTCGCTTAGCAAATTCTGCAGCTGTAGTCGGCGATGCTTCAGAGATGGAAGGTTGGACCATATGTTGCTCGTCAGCTGAGTAGTCAATTGGAACCAATGGCCTCATTTTCTTTTCTTTTTGAGTATCCTCATCCTCATCCGCATTGAAGAAAGACGGGACAGCAGCTCTTTTTCCTGACCCTGAGAGGCCAAATTCTAACCTTTTCGTAGGGACATTGCTATTATGCCTCATGTCTGATGCTGCAGTAGCTGCCAACACGGATTCTTCATCAGTCCCATTTTGTGCAACTCCTTCACCTGTTATTTTTCAATATCAAATGCCAAATAAAAAGATAAGACAAAATCCATAATAATAAATCTTAAGAAGAATAAACTAAAATAGTTACCCTGGCTTAAATTATCCTGAGCAGTCTCGATATTCTTATCTTGGCTATCAAGATTGTTTTCCTCATATGAAACAGCTTTTTCACGTCCATTGGCTAGATGACCAGAAAGGATTTTCAATGCCTCCTCCTGTTCTTTTTTCTGATGTTCCTCGTCTGCTCTTCTCTTAGCCTCAGCAATCTCTTCTTCTTCTTTAGACCTGTCGGCCAAGTCATCTTCCTTCTCCCTCTGCCGTCTTTTCCTCTCCTCGTCACTAGTCCTGTGTTTTCTTTTTCTATAACCATCTTCACATTCACGTTCTTGTTCCACTATATCCCATTTGCGTTCCTGAGCCCTTTCTTTCTCCCTTTCTCTCTCTCTTTTTCGCCAATGTTCCCTCTCCCTTTCTCTTGTTTCCCACTCTTTTTCACGGGACTTGTACCTACGGTCATCTTCGCGGGTCTTGTACTCTCTCTCCTTCTCTCTCTTAGTTCGTTCTTGTTCACGTTCTCTCTCATACCTTTCGAGTTCCCTTTCCTTTTCCCTCTTCAAATCCCTCTCCCGATCCCTGCTTCTCCTATCTTGCCTACGATGGTCCGGTGAGCTAATCTCGGCCTTGTCATGCTCACTTGAAGTTTTACTTTCGTTGACATCATCATTTTTTTCTTCTGCAGTGTTTCCAAAATCATATTGAAACTGTCAGTAAAGCTTCAATAAAAGAAAAATATCTGAAAGAAATAAAGGAAAGAGAGGCTTCTTATTGGTCCAAAAAACTAACCATTTTTTGCTGTATCTCTACCTGGTTCCCCATCTTTGAGGTTTTCCGTATATGAGTTATCAGAACCATCTTTAGGTGCTTGTGGAGGTGGAGGTGGAGGTGGTAATG